GTGGGCGGGCACTGGGGGTCTGGTGGGAGGACCTGGCCAATCATAGGTGGGGCAAGGGGTCTGAGGACCGAGCAATCCGGAGACGGGCCGTCAGGGGACTCCACCCTTAAAAGCCAGGGGCACAGAATGTTTAACTTAGTGGGGGCGGGGCCTGAGGATCTGAACAGAAGAGCCTGTCCTATCAGAAGGCAGGGTTAAGGTAGGTGAGAAACCTTGCTTGAGGAGGGGGGCAGGAGGACAGGAAGACAGGTACATTAAGAAATCAAAGCTGAGGGTGGGGGGAGAGCCTGAAAAATCTGGGGTCTGTGCGGCTGGTAGTAACCAAAGGAAAGGTCGGACAGGAGGTGGTGAGAGTCGGACCTGAAGAAAGCAGCGGAGGTAGCTGGAGACAGAGTGGTAGATCCTGAGGGCTAAGGTGGGAGGAATCCATCACAAGGAAAGTTGGGCTGGGTGCTGGGAGAGGAGGGGGCCCCGGGTTTGGCAGACAGAAAGGGCTTTAACCATTACAGGCTGGGTTTGGGAGGGCAGGTCTGAGACCCTTCCTGCCTAGAAAATCAATGCTGGGGGCAGGCCTTGGAAAGGAAGAGGTTGAGCCCTACCCAGGCATCATTTCTGGAGGCCCCAGCAGTGAAGGATGAAAGACCATAGAGTCAGAAACCCAGGGATGATCCCGGGGTCCTGGGAAAGAGTCTATGACAGCTGGGTTACTGGTGGCCCAGGGGCAGTTGACCAACTTATGGGTAAGTAGTTGGATGTTTAAACAATGAATATATGGCCATTCCAGTGTGTCCCAGCCCTGGCGTGGTCCTCCCTGAACCCCTTCCTTCTTGCAGTTCTCCTCTCGGCTGAACAGCTCCAGTCCTGTGCCCGGACCCCCACCTCGCACACCCTTTGATGACCCGTTCTTCGTGGTGGAGACGCTGTGCATCTGCTGGTTCTCCTTCGAGCTGCTGGTGCGCCTGCTGGCCTGCCCGAGCAAGGCGGCCTTCTTCAAGAACGTGATGAACCTCATTGATTTTGTGGCCATCCTGCCCTACTTTGTGGCACTGGGCACCGAGCTGGCCCGGCAGCGGGGGGTGGGCCAGCCGGCCATGTCATTGGCCATCCTTCGAGTCATCCGACTGGTTCGTGTCTTCCGCATCTTCAAGCTGTCTCGGCACTCGAAGGGCTTGCAGATCTTGGGCCAGACGCTGCGGGCCTCCATGCGCGAGCTGGGCCTCCTCATTTTCTTCCTCTTCATCGGTGTGGTCCTCTTCTCTAGTGCAGTCTACTTTGCTGAGGTCGACCGGGAAGACTCCTATTTCACCAGCATCCCTGAGTCTTTCTGGTGGGCAGTGGTCACCATGACTACAGTGGGCTATGGAGACATGGCACCCGTCACTGTGGGTGGCAAGATAGTGGGCTCTCTGTGCGCCATCGCTGGCGTGCTGACCATTTCCCTGCCTGTGCCAGTCATTGTCTCCAACTTCAGCTACTTTTACCACCGGGAGACAGAGGGCGAAGAGGACGGCATGTACAGCCATGTGGACACGCAGCCCTGTGGCCCGCTGGAGGGCAAGGTCAACGGGGGGTTGGTGGATGGAGAGGTGCCTGAGCTATCACCTCCACTCTGGCCTCCCCCTGGAAAACACATGGTCACCGAAGTGTGAGGGACAGCTGAGGCCTGCAGGACCTCACATTTCCTTGGAGGGAGGGAGGGTAGGGTGGAGAGGAATGTTGGGGGGAGGGGGTTGGGTTTAGGAAGAACTAGGTTAAGTGGTAATGAGTTGAGGAACACAGAGTCTTACTGGTTCTTGAGTTGTGGTTTGGTACTCCTGTAGGTGGCAATGAATGGCAATGGGTTATGCTGAGCTGAGCGGGAGGCTGCATCCGTTTGTATTGCATTGGTTTTTGCAAGGCTGGGGAGCCTTTTGAGGTAGTGTTGAGATAGATTTGGTCACATAGTTTTGTGAGTTTCTTTGTTCTGTGTGGGGTTGGGTTGGATTGTGAGTCTGAGTGAGTCTTGTCCAACTGTGGTTTTATGAGTCCCCTAGGGCCATGTTGGGTCAAGATATGTGGCCACCCATGGCATTGTGGGGACTGATTGCATGTTCATGCATGGTGGTGTGGAGCTGAGATGTGCTGGAAATTGTGTGGCTTTGTGATTCTTCTGAGGCTATGTTATTTTAGATTCTGTGAACTTGTGAGTCATGTAGAAGAGTCAAGTGCTAGAATGTGAGCTTTCTAGGTCATGTTAGGTTAAGTCGGGTTGGAACGTATGACCGTATGAGTCTCTCAGGGTTCTGTTGGGTTGAATTGTGTAGAGTTATGTGGCTGGAAGTTTTCAGGGCCGCATGGAGTTGAGCCGTATTGAGTTGTATAACCATGTGAGTCTCGTAGGACCAGGTCGTGGGGCCATGCTGAGTTGAGTTGCATTGACTTTGCCACTGTGAGTCTGGTAGGAATGTGGGGTTGAGTTGGACTGTATATATGAACTCCATAGGGCCATGTTGGTCTGTTTTGGATTTAGTGGTAGCACCAGGACCCAAGGATATCAGCCCTGGGTAGAAATCATGTCTCAGGGAGTGAATGTGGTGTGTGGACTCTGGGAGACAAACTGAGCTGGACGCTCCTTCCATTTACCCCATGCCTGCCCCGTTTTGCCATTGAATCCTCCTTACTATTTGTCCTCACCTACAGTTTTGCTTCCAGACGTGGACATCAGAACCATAAGGAGAGGGGGAGACACTTGTACTCTGTCCAGACATGATGGGGGGACAAAACCCAGAGGAGGAGGACAGAGACCTGGGGAAGGATAGAGACTCAGAGAAAGAGAGAAACCCAGAGAAGAGGGGATGAAGACCCAAAGAGAGAGGAACAGAGACTCAGGGAGGAGACAAAGACCCAGAGGGAGGGTGATAGAAATCCAAAGGAGAGGGACACAGAGACCAAGAGTGGCGGATGGAGAGCTACAGGGGGGTGTCAGGCACCCAGAGAGAGAGGGACAGACACCCATAGTTGGAGGCAGACCAGATTACCCCAGAGAAAGAGAACCAAAGAAGAAAAAGGCAGTGCCTCTGAGTCCGAGAGAGACGCAGAGTCTCCATTCCACAGAGTCCCAAATTGGGGCACACCACCCCATCACCCCGCAGCCCAGGAAGCTGTCAGATGAACTGGGGAGAAACCAGAATCTCAGAGCATGAGAGTGGCTTCCCAAGGTCAGGCAGCCCGTCACTGTCACCAGGGCCAGGGCTGTGGCAGGCTGCCTGACCCCACGTGTCTCATCAGCCTGCTAAGCACAGGAATTCCAGAGTCCAGACAAACCTCACAAACAAGGAAACTGAGGCTCGGAGGGGACGGGTGTTACCCAAGGTCATGAAGCCAAACATTTTTAGAGCTCTTTCCATACCATTTGGAGGGGGAGAGGGGGGAGGGAGAGGATGGTTAAATCACTAACACATATAGGGCTTCCTATGTGCCAGGCGTCATTCAAAATACTTTACTCGTATTAATTTATTAAAACCAGCCCAATGGTTTACGGTGTTGTTGTTGTTATTGTTATTTTTAGCTATAACAACTCCCCCTTTTTTTGGTCAGATGAAATCTTACTTAGAGGTGCCAGGGTGACACATCAGAAGGAAACTGGTTTGAGAGGAGTATACCTGTTATGAAGTCCCTCTTGGCAACTCAGAATGCCTAAGAAATTCAGCTGGGACCCCCTGCTTTAATCCAACTACCTTTTACACAGAGAGAGAAGAAGGTGCAGATTGTGGGACGAGTTTGATAAAGGTCAGAAATAATATAACCATTAGGTTGTCACTTCCCTCTGAAATGGAGAGAAAGGCACATCTGGAGACAGAAAAGGAGACAGACCCCCTCAGGTGACAGACACAAGGCAGAGTCTTGGAGGCAGGCACAGAGCCCAGCACAGAGACCCGAAGAGGAGACGCAGGCAGAGAGGAACCAAGACCTGCAGAGAGACTGAGACAGAGGCAGAGTGACACCCATGGGGTGGAGCAGGGAGGAGCAGGAGCTGGTGAGGGGAGGGCAGTGGCCTGGGAGGGGGTCAGAGACCCACAGGAGGGGAAGATAATCAGAGCGGAAGGGTCAGATCCAGAGAGGGGAGGGCAGAGACCCAGAGAAAGGGAGAAAGAGATGGGGGGACAGAGACCCAGAGAGAGGGGGTCACAGAGACACAGAGTGGGGACCGAGACTGTTGACCAGCTACTCTGATAACTCCTCAGTTACTCTCCTGTGCTACCCAATCAGAGACTGGGATGTACACAGATGACCTCTGGTAGGGCTGGGATATGCTGGGTGCTTAGGGATGGGGAGGAGTGTGGAGAGGTCAGGGAGGTGACTAGAGTGGACACTCAAAGCCTGGGAAGTGCCCCTCCTCCACCCCAATAAACAACTGTGGCGCCTTCTATGTTGCCTTGGCTGTGATGGGGAAGAGGAGAGGGGAACACCCTAATCCGGGGACACCCTTCCTGCCACCTAGCCATGCTATATTTAGGCTGAGGGAGGGGTATGGGATGCCCCCCCCCCAAGACAAGTGTCAGCTTTCCTCCTGAAAACAACTCTG